GGTCACGTACACACACAGTGGGGCTGGGTCACGTACACACACAGTGGAACTGGGTCACGTACACACACAGTGGGATAGGTTTGACATTGCTCTGATGAAAAGGCACTGGACTCGAAACATTAACTCTGCTTTCTTCCTACAAATGCTGCCAGACCTGGATGTAATACGGATGGGAATGGTGTAGTTGGTTGACCAAAGCATGTCAGAGACTTACCACTCACACAGTTGTTGCTGTCTTCTGCCCCTAGATCCAAGGATGATGTATACTCAGAGCCGTGAATTTCTGTGTGTCTTCATGTGACTGACGAGCTGATCCTCAGCTCACAGCTCTTTAAGCACCATATGGGAAGGACATATTATGGTGCAGTGAGATCCAAGGGCAGGGTTTCTCTCCATTCCATTCCCTCTCTGCCCCATCACTAAGATCTTTGGACACAAAGCCTGATACAGCTTGATGGACAAGTTGCTGTGATCCTGAAAAATTGGTGGTGAGCTCCTTTCAGTCATTAATGTGAATGTTGTCCATTTATCAAGGAGAGATTCAGAGTGTCTTCATAATGTTTTTTTTTCTGTCTAGCCCTAGAACAGTTGAGACTTGTAAAAACATTGAGGCACTTTTCAGCTACAAGGTGCAATGTCCAGTCCATAATCATCAGTTTTGCAGGAATTGTACTTGATTGCTTGTGGAGCTAGCTTCAGGATGGACATACGCATGTGTTCATTTCTCCCATTGCATCGGAAGAATGGAACAGAGACATTGCTGGCGTTTCTTAGCGTAAGGGTGTTAATTTGCGAGTTCCAGACCAGATGTGTTTGATTAGAAACGTGAAGGGGCTATTCAAAGCTGAGAATGTCTAACCTCTGATACGTGAATACTCAAGGAAGAAGCTAAAAATCTAAGTTAAACTTTCAGATGTGATTTTTTTTTCTTTTTATTCATTCACAGGATGAGGGCATCACTAGCTAGGCCAGCATTTATTACCCATCCCTAATTGTCCAGAGGGCAGTTAAGAGTCAACCACATGTAGACTAGACAAGGATGGCAGTTTCCTTCCCTAAAGGATATTAGTGAACCAGAGGGGTTTTTCCTGACAATCGACACTGGAATCATTAGATTCTTAATTCCAGATATTTATTGAATTCCACCATCTGCCATGGCAGGATTCAAACCCGGGTCCCCAGACCATTACCTGGATCTCTAGATTAACAGCCCAGCGATAATACCACTAGGCCATTGTCTCCCCTAACAGAGAAGGGAAGAGCAGAGATAAAGAAGGGAATTCTCTGTGGCGTTTGGGCACTGTAACATGATGGTGTTGGGATAGATGGAATATTGTATTCTTACTGTGCGTTTTTAAATCTTTCCAGTTGTTTTACATATGAAAAGATTGGTTTATTCTATTCGGCAAACAAATATAAAGTAAACATCTGTTTTATTCTTAAATCCAAATTTGGCATATTGAATGTTTGGGTTTATGTGAGTGACCACTTCATTAAATAAATCAAGAATATGATCAATCAAGGCAGAGTTCAGTCTGGGATCTGACTTATCCAGTAATAACATCAACTGGGATCATTACACTCTTGTGGCTGAGAAACTGCTGAGAAAGTTCTTTCCAACATTGACAGATGGCATGGTCATCCTTAAGAAGAGAAACATTGCCCTGTGAGCAAAGGTGATGTTGGCAGTTTGGTTCGGTCTATAAACCTCTGGTTGCTTCAGAAAAGCTTCCCATCTCATTCTCATCAGTATATTGTTGTGATCTCTTCCTAATACATGTCTTTGTGCCTTTGAGTGATATCCTTGTGCTGTTGGAATGCTGCCTTCTGGATTTGTGACCTTGGGTTATTCCACTAGACGGTGTGTACAGGTGGGATTTCTTCCAGGAGCTCGCAGATTTCAGCCTTTTTTTGTTGTCGGAGCAGTCCTAGTGTCCAACCCAATGGTGTGGACATGGGAATCTCATACAGCTGACTTTATTGGATCCCATTGGTTTGGAATGAATTTGAGTTCCTGTATCGGTTGTGAGCTGCTTTTGGAACCTTTTCTGTTGGGGCTGCTGGTGGGTTGAGATGTTGATCTATCTTCCCCTGGGACTAGGGGCTGTATGATGGAGTATGATCACTGAGTGGACGTGTCAATGATCTGACCAGTCATCTGGGATCCAAACGAATCCAGTGTCATAGACATCAGAAGATGCACTGCAGAAATTCACCAAGAACTCCTCAGGCTGCGCCTTCCAAACCCACGACCACTTCCGTCTAGAAGGACAAGGGCAGCAGATACATGGGAACACCATCACCTCCAAGTTCCTCTCCAAGCCACTCACCATCCTGCCTTGGAAATATAACACCGTTCCTTCAGTGTCACTGGGTCAAAATCCTGGAATTGCCTCCCTAAGGGCATTGTGGGTCAGCCTACAGCACATAGACTGCAGCGGTTCAAGAAGGCAGCTCACCCCCACCTTCTCAAGGGCAACTAGGGCTGGGAAAGAAATGCTGATCAGCCAGCGATGCCCACATCCCATGAATGAATTTAAAAAAGACCTCTAACCCGAACAAGGACATAATCCAGGAGGTGCCAGTGCCTGGGACTAGGTTGTCCCCATGTGCATTTGGATTTGTCCATCTGATGGCAGATGGTGTTTGGTCTAAAGAGGTCATTCTCAGCACTTTGTTGGCAGGAGAACACCATTTACATTGTATTCTCCAACTCTTTTGGTTCCTCTCCAGACACTGGGATCATGGCCAAATGCAACATTAAAGTCCCTCAGGAGCATGATCCTTCTATCTGTTTGGACGGCAGTAAGGATTTCAAGGTCAGAATGGAGCCTTTCCTTTCCACCAATATCCGAGTGAAGAGTGGGGAATGAGCCACATCGATTCTGGCTAAACTGCATGGTGACAATCCTGAACTTCTTGTTTATACAACTGAGGAGCTCTAGCAGTGTGTCCAAAATCCCATTCCAGATTCCAAACCGACTGTGTGGATATGAGGGTGAACTGTCGGTCTTGCTTTACCAGTCAGAATGTGTCTCTCATTGGCTTGTTCCTTCATTAGCCGCTCCAAGACAGGTCTCTCTGAGGGCAGTGGCGTCAATCAGAAACAAAAACAGAAACTGCTGGAGAAACTCAGAAGGTCTGGCAGTGTCCGTGGAAAGAGAAACAGAGTTAATGTTTCAAGTCCATGATGACTCTTCTTCAGAACTGAAGCCAGAGGTGGAAAAGAGATGAGTTTATACTGCAGGTAAAAGGTGAGCAAGTTCAAGTGAAACAGCAGGCAATGTCAGGGGACAGCTAGAGGTGAGAGAAAAGCAAAGGGAATAGTCAAGGGGTATTGGTCCAGAGAAGGGTGAACAGCAGAATATAGGTCAACTTTACCAAATCAAGAAAAATCAACAGTTGGAAGTGGCAGGAGACAGGTTAGTGAAAGGTAGATGTAACTAAATGGAGGACAGAGCTCAGGGTCTGAAGCTGTTGAACTCGATATTGAGTCTTAGAGGTTGGAAATTGCCGTTCCTCAGGCTTGCATTGGGCTTCACTGGAACACTGCAACAAGCCTGGGATGGAAATGACAGCAAGATGGTGCTTTCAAATGTCAAGTGACTGGAACATCAGGCCACATTTTGTGGGACCACGCAGAGGTATCCCACAATGCAATCTCCGTGTCAGCATTTCCTCCTCCCGTCCCCCTCCCACCCCCCATTGTACAGGAAGGCCCAGTGTGAGTGGTGAGCACAGGAAACCAGATTGGAAGAAACCAAAATTAATTGCTCCCTCGGCTGGATGGAATATTTTACAAGTTGGACACTGAGGAGAGAGGAGGCAAACAGGACAAAATGCTCCACCTTCCTCTGTTGCATGAGAAGATGTCAAGGAAGGGGTGTGAGGTGTTGGTGGTCAAAGAGTGTCACAGAGAGAATGATCCCATCAGAATCTATGGGTGTGAGGTGGAAAAGCACAGCAGGTCAGACAGCATCTGCGTTTCGACCCAAAACATTGACTTTTTTGCTCCTTGGATGCTGTCTGATGTGCTGTGCTTTTTCAGCCTCACACCTGTAGACTCTGGCTTCCAGCATCTGCTGTTCTTGTGGTCTACAGATCCCATCAGAATGCTGAAAGAGAGGTGAAAGGAACATGTTTTTGGTGTGAAGATGTCAATTTGGAGACTTGATATCTCACATGATCGATGATTGCTCTTAGACAACACCTTCCCAATTCTGGAGTGACCAGAGGTGATTATGAAGAGGACCAATTGCAGATGCCGCTTCCCAGAGACAACGTGGACCTGACACAAGGGTCTGGCTCCCTTTATGTTATTGTCGTCTGTGATCCATGTCAGTTCTGACGAGGGGCTCCCAGGTTTGTCAACCCATCCTCATCGCCAATTCTCCATCATCTCCAAATTTGACCAAAGGAACCTGGTAGAAGTCTGTGCGTGGTTTTGTTGAATATAGGGCTGGGGGAAGGGGGGGGTGTGTGGGGAAGGAGGAAGGGGTGATGTCTTGATCTACATGGTATTGATAGGTTGGGGAGGGGGGTGTTCAGATCCGTGTGAGGTGCCAAGTCACAATGACAGGGACAGTCTCTCTGCTGAAGGCCTCTCCCACCAACACAAATGGAGAGACGTATAGCCATCCCTGAGGACCTCTCGGATCACACTTGGCCTGGCACCTAAATCCCTGACGTTGCCAAAATTGGGTTGCCCAATCAGTAGCAAAAGCTCCTGACAGCATTGTTCGGGGGATTATTGGAGCCTACACGCATGTCTGCTATGTCATGTTGGTGGAGAAGGAGAAGACACTGGAAATATCATTGAAATCTGATCAGAGCATGTTTCATAGGATTCCATGCAATTAACACCATTGATGGAAAATCAAGGTACATTCATCAGATGCAATACACTCCGGCTTTTTCACACCAACTGAGCTTTCAATCATTTTTCTCTGGTTGTTATTGCAGAATATTTTCTTGAATCAGATGTAAAGCAATTTACAAACAAGAGACAGAAATTCTCTGGAAGTTCCATTTCCCTGTCTCATGCCATGCCTCGAGGAAAATTCTCCTGAATATTATCTGACTGGTAAAGGACTAATATAATTACCATTCTGCTTCATATGTATTTGGTACATTATAGCCCAAAGTTAAAATCTCAAAGCATTACTGAAATCACTGACAGTCACGTTCAGACCTTGCAGTAAATCAACACACCACCAGCTGCCCATTTCAACACATCCAGAAGTTTGCGATGGGTGTATTTTCTCTTGGTATCTTACTGAGATACCGGGTCTTTGAAACTCCAGCCAGCTCCAGACTGAGCTAGCATTTTTACCACTGCCTGTCACTATTGTTGAGTGGCGTGTACAATTGTGGAGACTGCAATCTGAACCAAGCCCGAGAGCCAAAAATGAAATACTCACAAATCGAGACGAGTTGTCATTTTTCACTGTTTTAGCGTTGCCAAAGGCTTCCAGAATGGGATTGGCTTGAAGGAGTTGCTTCTCGAGCTCCCCCTAAAATTAAGACAGATTGCAGTCAGTCATGTTAATCAATGAGTGATGAAGGCACGGAGTCCTGTGCTAACCCCTGGCAGCATTGCCGCAACCAGTTATGGTCCACAGTCACTCTGGGTTAGGCTGATTCTGTTGTAAAAACAATGTTCTGGAGAAACTCAGCTGGTCTGACATCTCTGTGGAGAGACAGAGAGAAACAGAGTTAATGATTCCAGTTGATCAGAATGGGGAATAGTTATAAATTTAATTAGATTTTGAATAAAGTTGTGGGGGTGGGGACGGGGTGGGTGGGGGGTTGGTGGTGGGGGAATGAACCAAGGGCAAAAGGAAGGCATGCGAAAGGGTGAGAACCAGGAGAGATTGAATGACAGAAAAAAAAATTAATCTTCCAAGGCTCTCATGCTGACCTCTTTGGATATTCTCTAACCTACCTGTTCAGAGACGTTATCACATATCTCTGGAGCAGATGGGGCATGAACCCAAGCCTCCTGCCTCAGAGGTAGGGACACTACTACAAAAGCCCTATGCTGACCACTCTACCCTTGGCCTGCCACACTAGTTCAGCTTCAGTTTGAAGTGCAGAATCTCATCTTTTGACAAGGCATGTTACAGCTTCCTGGATTCAATAACTTCAGATTCAAATCTCTGCCATTTTTCCCCGCTCACATTTGTTTCTTTTTATGGGAGTTTTGTTTTGTTCCCCTGTTTCTCCTTACAGACAGCAGTAAACATATTCTAATCTCACTGCTTGCCTCTTTGCGTCATTACCTGCCTGGTCACCATTCCCTTGGACCCTGGAAGACTCACTCTTCTGTCGTCCAGTCCCTCCTCTCTTCCTCCTCATCAGAGAATTGCCTTCTGTCCTTATCCCTCATCCAACCCTTCGCTCAAAGCCTCTGCAGTTCGTCCACTCACTTTGGCGTCTCTAAACATCTCCCAGTTCTGATGAAACGAGCTGAAATATTAACTCTGTTCTTTCTCATTGGATGAAACTAGACCTGCTCGGTGTTTCCAACATTTTCTGATTTTAGCTCAGACCTCCAGCATTGCACTTTTCGATTGGAACTTCCCCTGATATTTGCCTAATAGTTTTCTAATCAGGCATCTGCATAATCATATCAAATCAGCTTCTGCTTCACCTGTCAATGTTATGATAGCCCTGGGAATATTATCCATACACTAATGACAGTCCATTATTAAAGTAATAAGCATTCATTTTTCACTTGTGCTGGTCAGAATTCCAGAAGGACCTTGCAATGACTGGAAACCACAGGTTACTAAAATGCCTTCTGTACATGCAGTTGCCTCCTGTTTTGGTTGTTTTAAGAATATTTAAACATCCTGCAGGATATCTCCACAGTGCCAGGTTTGCTTCCAACCTTCCACCTATAGCATGGTGTCCTTTCAGGATTCAACTTAATTATTCCACAGCCACATCCGCTCATACCAGCACCATCCTGTAGGAAGTGTCTCTGTTTAAACATCTACTCCCTGTCCTCAGTGATATATTGTGTAACTGTTCTGTTCAGGAACCTTTTCTACCGATCATTTATCCGCTAAAAATACTTTGTAGGGTTTTTAATTGGTTATTAGGAAGAGGCTGAGCAATGACATGCATTACAAGACATGGCAATGTTTTAAAAGATTATGTTTTCCATGGTTGCTTGTTTGAAACAAGCACAACTGAGTTATAAATCAGACTGCAGCCAGCAAATACATAGCATTTTCAAGAGGATGTTAATCGTCTTCATATTTTTGGCGCAGAAAAAATGAACACTGGAACCTGATGAAATGATTATCAAAACACACATGTGTGCCACATTGGTTACAATCAGTTAAAACAAAATATAAGAAGAGTGAGTCACACCACAGCTTCCTTCTGCCAGAGCTTAAAGATTTGCAGCAGCCTCAAGCTATGATAAGAATTAACTTTTTTTTGTTAAGATTCATGTTTATTATTTAAAATGGTGCAGCAACAATAAACAGGTTTATTGTATCGATGCCCAAGTTGTTGTAAAACATTCTTTCCCAATTTCTGCCCATTCTTTTCAGAGGAGAGTGTCCACCATCTACAAGGCACAAGTCAGGAGTGTGATGGAATACTCCCCACTTGGCTGGATGAGTGCAGCCCCAACAACACTCAAGAAGCTTGACACCATCCAGGACAAAGCAGCCGCTTGATTGGCACCACATCCACAAACATCCACTCCCTCCACCACCAACACTCAGTAGCAGCAGTGTGTACTATCTACAAGATGCACTGCAGAAATTCACCAAAGATCCTCAGCACCTTCCAAACCCACAACCACTTCCATGTAGAAGGACAAGGGCAGCAGATATATGGGAACACTAACCACCGCCAAGTTCCCCTCCAAGCCACTCATCATCCTGACTTATAAATATATCGCTGTTCCTTCACTGTCACTGGGTCAAAATCTTGGAATTCCCTCCCCAAGGGCATTGTGGGTCAGCACACAGCACATGGACTGTAGCGGTTCAAGAAAACTACTCACCACCACCTTCTCCAGGGGGAAACTAGGGATGGGCAAGAAACGCTGGCCAGCCAGTGACACCCACATCCATGAGTGAATAAAAAGATCTCACTGAGGTTACCCATCCATTGACATGAAAGAATAACTCCATCTCATGCTAGAACTTGGGATGGAGATTCAATAATGGTTTGCAGCCAAACCTGTTCAGACTCACTTTCCCACCATAATTGCTGGGCTGATGATAGTCAACCAGAGTCTGAACAGATTTAAATCTCCACTTATGCCAACTGTACCATCCCATCTGCAGCTGGACAGATTTAGAATGGACACGGGAACTCTCAGACTCTCTGACTGAGTGCTATTTATTTAGCATTAAACCGTTGGCGCAAATCAATTCTGGACTTGCAGAATCTTTGAAATCAAATGCCTTCGTTTTAAATGATCTAGAAACTGTCTTCTGTTTCAAATGGCAAAACATTGACCTGCCATTAAAAAATGAACCTTAATTTTCACACACATTGTTGTTCTCAGTTGTTTGAGGATTCTGTTTGAATTTATTAAAAATATGTTTTGCTTTAATTAATTACCTTAATGTCAAAAAGCATTAAAGCAATTGCAGATTGACATTGCCAAGCTGACTCATTGTTGTTTACCATTATCTTCATTCACAGGATGTGATGGATGCTGCCTAAGCCTGATTGGCCAGAGGGCTGTCAAGAGTCAGGCACGTTGCTGTGGGTCTGGAGTCACATGTAGGCCAGGCCAGGTGAGGATGGCAGATTTCCTTCCCTAAAAGAACATAAGTGAACCAGATGGCCCTTTTTTTACCCCTGGCAACTAACAACTGTTCTATGGTCATTATTTGATGCTTAACTCTAGATTTTCGAATTTTTTTTGCTGAGGCTGGATTTGAACCCAAGATCCAGAAACGTTACCTGTACCTCTGGTTTTACAGTCTGGCAATAGTAGCACTTGGTCAGCTGAAATTGGGAAGATTGTTTACCACTGCACCATTTCAGTTCAAGATAAGGTTAAATCATTAGTTATTATCATTAGGATTTGGGCATCAAGATATCAAACTCATGTTACTGTGGATTTCAATTTTACATCTGCATCATAGACAGCTGATGGAACAGCGATGAGCAAACTATAGCGACAAGCTGACAAGCCAAAAATTCATAGTTCAATCAGGATTTGAAGCTAAATGCAGAAACAGCTGTTGGAGCATTGTTTGAAGCCATGCACATTTTGTTCCTTCAGTTAAGGTGGTTACAATGGTTTCGGGCTTTCATTCACAACAATCCTGATTTTGGTTTGTTGTTTGAACTCAAATTCAACCCACAAGACTGTATCCAGGTAGAGGTAGCCATTTCTAGCATCCTCCTGTTTCCTGAACAGCTCCACATCGAAGACGGCCTGGCAGAAAACAGCATGCACAAACCGATCAGAATGTTTATCTCTCAGCCCGAATTCAATCGCTTGACACTCACACACACACAAACACACCCTGAGTATATCTTTGGATAATGCAAGAGAGGACAGTCACATCTTCCCCACTACATCCCTGAAATGGACTTTTGAAGCTGTGACCTTCATTCTTTGTTTCATGTTGCTTATTGCCATGCCAAAAACAAAACTGTGAACATTTTGATCTATTGCAAATTGAAAGACAACACAATTATTTCGGCAAGGAGCAAAACAGAGAAAATTATTCCAATTGAAAATGTTTATCATAATGCTTGTGGGTTGAATTAATTGAGTTTCAGAAAGAAAATGGCAAAATGTTGCCTACTGACTGACACCACTTTAAATGAACCAGCATGCAACCCTTTGTGCTATTGTTGTTGTTCTATTTATCTGTGGAGTGCGTGACACCTTCTTTTATCTCAATATTACAATTCTGTGCAACAGTAACGTGCAGGGTATGTACTTGGTGCTATAAACACACATCGAACGTTCTCAATTACTCACGTATGCAAAACCAGGTTCGTGCTGTAGTTGGATAATATGGTATAAAACAAATATGTCAGTAGAATAACAAATGTCAGGTAATTCCAAATAATACAGAAGTTAATTTTTTTCCAATGCCTAGTGATAAATGCACTCTTTGAGATGTTCATTTTGTTCCAGAATGGAAAGCTATGTATCTTGAGTATGTGCAGTGGGAAGAAAGCAAGATCTTGGTTAGCACTGCGCCTCTCCACCTCCTTAAAGAGGCTTTGAAAAAGCCTACTATCTTTGAGAAAGATGGCTGCAAGCTGTCCTCATGGTTACACAGCACACACCAATACATCACATTCTTCATCTTTGTTAGCTCGTCAATTTCTAAAAAAAAATCCAATGTACTTCAAATAATCCAAAGCTACATTCCATAAAAATAAATGCAACATTTTGGAAGATACTATTATGATGGGACCTCTGTGAGCACAACTTTCTGAGCAGGACTCAGAACAGCTGAACCCAACTCAACAGCAGAACAATACCTTTTGATCCAGAACTCTTGGGTCGCTCACATATTCCTTGGGTAGCTCAGCATGATTGGACAAGAAGTAGCTAAGACTGTTTTATGTTGAGATATCCAGCTTCCCAGATATTCTTTTCGATTACTAATTGATGGTATCACTGGTGTCAAAACATTAATTACCTTGGATTGTAAGATGGTGATAAAACGTACATCCTAGAGACAAACTGAATTAGACAATGAGATGGAGTGGGACAGGGCAGCTGTGAGAGTGTAACTTGTTTGAGTGATTCTTAATGTGCAGGTTGGATTCTAGAAATTAGAAGTTCTAAACTGGAGTAAGGAGATAATTTTAACTCCAATAGTTCAAAATCAGACAGAAGACATTGACAATCACCGAGACTATATATCTGGCAAAAAAAAATCACAGCCATCCCACTGGGAAACTGTTACCATGGTTGAGTGGTGATCATCATGACCACCCAAAATTGGTATCTGCAAATGTCAAGCATCATTGAGACCAGGCCACTGTTTTCACCTTTGATGTTTGTCATGGGGACTGGGGAAGTCAATAGGATGGGGAGCTGGAATCAGAAGAGGCCCAGACAGAAAAACTAGCTTATAATTTCCCTGCTGTGGACACCTCTACCCTCCCTCCCAAGAATGAGAAGCTCAAGCATCCACCTAACTTGTGTTGACTATTCATCGCTTCCTGCCTAATGCCAGTTGGGAAGTTGACCGTGAGATTTGTGTGAAACCTGGGCATTAAAATATCCCATTTCCAAAAAGCACATCCCAAAACCTGCCTGGAGTTACAAAAATCCTTCAAAGAATGACGGATAGAGTGTGAAAAGATGTTAGCTTGCAGAAATAACTTGTGAACACTGCTTTTACGACAATATACATTTAGCAAATACCTTGCTTAAAAATATTGGCACGGTTAATAAATATGAGAACTGTTATCTACATGGAGGATGCTTCCTTTTCTGGGACAAACACATTTTGGCTGTAATTTAAATAAGTGAGATATTTAACTCTGTGTAGAATACAAAAGCTGTCTCTGATTTAACTTGGAAAACATAGTTGCTGTTGTTTCAAGAGTGCTATGTAGGTTAGGTTACAATCAGAGAAACAGCCAATGATCCTGTGCTAACAAGGTGTAGAGCTGGATGAACACAGCAGGCCAAGCAGCATCATAGGAGCAGGAAGGCTGACGTTTCGGGCCTAGACCCTTCATCA